AGCCTCAACCTGCGCCGACTGTTGGCTCCCGAGCTGAGGCCCCGACGATTTGCGGGACGGCCGAGTTTGATTGAGGTCGTTCGCGGCTTCAGTCGGCGCTCCGGCACAAGAGACTTATAAGGGTAGATAACCTGGTTTGTGGAGCTCCCGCAACTTACCCTTAGAGGCCACCATAAGGGACCCCATTGCCCGTTTGCCACCAGACTTTTTTTGAGTTGGAGGTAATAACTAAATGGATTGCACTCTCCCAAAGAACTGATGCATTCATAGTGCCTTCACATAGTTACAATACCTCAAAGTTGAAAACCTCCAAAATAGGCCGTCAGGACTCTGTCAGGACTCCGTCAGGACTCTGTCAGGACTCCGTCAGGACTCTGTCAGGACTCTGTCAGGACTCTGTCAGGACTCCGTCAGGACTCTGTCAGGACTCCGTCAGGACTCCGCCAGGACAACCACTGTCCCCGCTGTGAATAGAGCCCTTAGCTAGAGAGTAGGGAGGGGTGTACAGTCGAGTTACTCCCGAGGGCAGGGACGGCCCTCCACTGAGGGAAAGGGCGCACGGGGACGGTATCGACCCAGCCACGCAGCTCTTTCCTCGCGTACAGCCAACGAGTTTGCTGGTCCACAGGCAGGCCAGGCCGTGAGCGTGGGCCGGTCAGGCCTGATCCTGCGGTGAGCACTGGAGGGCTATGCGGCTCGCTCCGTCAGCCGACTTGCGCTGTCGAGCGGTCGAGCGCTTCGGGTTGGACCCGCGGGAGGGTCCCTGCGCGGCTGACATGGCCAGCCAAGCCGTGTGCGCTGCCGTGGGTGCTGCCGTGGGTGCTGCTGTGGGCGCTGCCGTGGGCGCTGCCGTGGGCGCTGCCTCGGTCAGCAGTCAGTCAGCCGTCCGCTGCTCGGCGCTGGCCTGCAGGTTGCCGGTGGCAAATCGGGGGCGCGCGGGCCATGGACGTCGTGGCCGAGCTTTGCTGCCTATGCACGTTGCCGGCTGTAACGTTGCCTGCACCATGGCCGCGCCTCTCTTGCTTGTGCGCTTTTCATGGTCGAGCCGAGTGGCGCGAGAAACAGGGTGATTTCTTTTGTCTGTCAGGACTCTAAGTTTCTGTCAGGACTCTCAAGTTTCTGTCAGGACTCTCAAGTTTGCTTGTCAGGACTCTCAAGTTTGCGTCAGGACTGCCCCATCAGGACGATTCCGCAGAGGGCGCGCACGGTCGAAAGGGGGGCTGGGCGTCTATCATTCACTGCTGGGGGGGAGGGGAAGGAGGGTTGCAGTGAAGGAAGGTGGAAGTCTCTTCGGAGGCACTTGTGAGCACTGTGAAGACCGTGCGCCGTCAGGACCCCGCCAGGACTCTGTCAGGACTCTGTCAGGACTCTGTCAGGACTATGTCAGGACTCTGTCAGGACTCTGTCAGGACTGTCAGGACAGTTGCGGGAGCTCCACAAACCAGGTTAGATATGGGAAGACGTGATTGGACCTGCTGCACCAACGGCTACAGCCCCAGCCAGCCCCGTCAACCACCCCTCGCCCGCCACCGAAAATGAAGCCGCACCTGTCGCTAACCCTCGCCGTGCCCCCCGAGTGCGAACGATATGGTCCGAGTACGTGCCGAGCGAGCAGGCGATGGAGATCGGAGACGATCGGGGAGCACGATGCGTAATTGCCCTCGATGTTGACCCTCCCCCACCACCTCCCTCTCCCCGGACGACGCCGCTCTCGCATCTGCTATGCTCTCTCTCTCTCGATACACAACACGCTCGCCGACTTGACAATAAGGGTTGACTCCCTCGCACTAGAGGCGACGAACCTGCCCCCGCCCCTCGGGGCGGGGACCCCCGCCCCCCCGGGGGGCCCTTTGGGGCCCCTCCAGGGGGCGACCCCTCCGGGGAGGCCGGCTTTCCCCGTGCCGGTTCTCCCCAACCAACCCCGCCGGCAGCGCG